CGTTTACTTCATTATTACTTACTACGATATATTTTATGGTATCCGAAGGGTATCTTAAGAATTGTCCGCTGCGCCAAATATATTTTTTTCATTTCACCGTGTACACCCACGGTAATTAATTCTGTCCCTCGGAAATTTTCACAAAATAAAAAATGACCACCTTTCTATATTAATTGTCACAATCTATGCACGATTAACGTTACGACTGAACCTTATCGTGCATGAATAGTGATAATTAATACAGAAAGGAGGTCACTTTTCATTTTGTGAAAATTTCCAAGGGACAGAATTAATTACCGTGGGTGTACAAGACGATTCACTATCACTTTGACAATTATCGTAACCTATCATAACACTGAATATAAACGTTCAGAGATGCTGCACTGCTCTGGTATAGGTATAGTTATAGAGACTAAGTTTGCGCAAACCGAATCAAAATTGTCCTATAATACTCCAAGAAAAAAAAAGTTAAGATGCAAAAACATTTATCTTCAGAAGAAAATAAACCGACTAGAAAAAAAGATTGCATTTTATGAAACTAAAACAAAAAAATTTACATTTCCCTCGTAAAAAAGTACTACTAGTGTCACTGTTGGTACGAGTAGTAATCAGTAGTAACACTGCTCGTGACTAGTAGTATAGAAGTGCAGTATTAAATTTACTATTAGTGGCACTAATAGTATCACTACTGGGAGTAGTGCAATCTACAGTAATCGCATTCCCGCACTTACGGAAATTATTTTAATACAAATTTGAATAAAAAAGTCGATTTTAATTAATTATTTTAATCATTTCTTATTTTTAATCAAATTTTGTTTATAACTTTTTTTTTTGCGAATTTACTTCTGCATATTACACTTATAGTGACATTAATAGTATTTTTTTACGAGGGTTGAAGATTGGAATTCGCATTGCGACAAATTTCTTCCGCCACAAATAGCTACTTTTGTCAAAATTCAAGCACAACTTCATAAACAATCTAAAAAAGGTAAAAAGTATTGTAAGGAATTTAAACAATTTTGTTTACAACTTTACTTTTCTTCACCAAAAAGTTATAAATTATTAAGTGTTACGTCCGGGGGACTCCACGAATCTTTTCTTTCGTAGAAAAACTAGAAATATAATAAGGATTAACTAAATAAGGAGTACGAAGAAACTTAAACAAATAATATCGTTTCTTCCTGCTTCTCATTCCTAATTTGAAGATCAATGAGTGAGAGTCGACAATTACTAAATAATTAGAAAGGAAATTTGTCTTAACCGACGAATTCAGATGATAAGCCACGTCGCGAAATCAAAAGGTCAACCGGCACTCATGGATCTTATAGAAAAACATCTTCGGGTTAATAGAGTTCAACGCTACACGCGCGATTCCAGGACCAATGAAAATTCGACACATCATTTGACCCAAATTTTTCCATTTCCCGGAAGTCAATCCCGATCAAAGTCCAAAGTTCGATTACACAAAGAAGGGCATATTGCCCTCCGTAAGTATAAATACTAGCCCTCCACGATGCCCATACGCAGTTCGATCTTGATTTCTCAGTTACGCAGTTAGATCTTGATTTCTCAGTTACGTAGTTCGATCTCGATTTCTCAGTTCGACAGTTCGGCCGTTTTTATCTTGACTCTTCAGTTCGGAAATTTGATTGACCGAATTCCTAGTCCATCTGTAAATTCAGTGAAAATCATCAACCAGCCGAAGCCACCTCCACCTACGAACTGTCCACCTGTCTTCCAGTTGCTGCAAGGAACTCCATCCTATTCCAATTAAAGGTAGAAAATTAAACGTTTTTAAAATTTATTTTTTTTATATATATATATATTTCTCTCGACCATCTACAATATCTCTCTCTTTTTCTCCCTTTTGATTTATTCACGATTTACTCTTTCTTCCTTCGAATTGCTTAACCAATCTACGTTTCAAGCAATTCACTCTTCTCTCTTTTTCTTTATTTTTTCGAATTGCTTCAGCATTCGTGCCTCAAGCGATTCTCTTTTCTCTTTATTTTTCCGAATTGCTTCAGCATTCGTGCCTCAAGCGATTCTCTTTCTCTTTATTTTTCCGAATTGCTTCAGCATACGTGCCTCAACCAATTCCCTCTTTTCTTTCTCTTCGTTTCTCTCTCTCTCTCTCTCTCTCTCTCTCTCTCTCTCTCTCTCCTTAGATTCTTCTTTTTCCTCCTAAACTTCCCTAATGAGAGAAATATACTTTTAGATGGTATGGAACAATAACCATCGCGCAGGACGACGGAAGCAAAGTAAAGTCCAAAAACCGAAACAGAACAAGCGGCCAGTAATAACCAAAATCTTGCCCGGAACATTTGTAACTGATAAGGCTTTTCGTCAATTACAAGAATTAAACAAATCGGCTAGGGACCAATCCTCCACCACAATCCCCGTAACCGAC